TTTTTTTTTTTTTGAAATGAATATATTACGATTATCTCAAAAAAAATTATGAATGTATTTCACGAAATTTTTGTCATCGTATTATCAAGACAAAAACTTTGTAAATTTTCGTTACGTATCACAATTGTGTACGTATCGTATGTATCTTTTCTCTAAAATAACTTTCCAAACAATTTGCTCAGATCTCTAACCTCAAAATATCTTGCAACAAATCTCTTAACTTTCCACCTTTGCTCGAAAGAACGAGGTAAAAATCACGCGCATTCCATCTAATAGTCGTCAAGTAGTCAGCCAGCCTACCAACCACTAGATACGTAATATCGTAACTTCGTTAAACTTCCCTCGAAAAAACGAAGTGAAAAGTCGAAAAGAACAGATCGACAAATCACAAGCAACGTCATCAACCTATAATCTATTTATCCGAGATGGAACAACGAAGAGTCTTATTCAAGGCTCGATACGTGAATCGTATTCGTCAGCTTAAGCAGGCAGATCGATAGGGGCCCGTTGAGGAATCGTTTGGTTTGATGAAAACGCGACCGAGCAATGTGGCGTACTCTGTTGGCGGAAGTTCGCGACTGTACTACGTGTTTTCTTGTCTGATCTCTTTTGTTTTTTGGCTTTCCGCTAGGCGAGCAGCAACTCACCGCGGTGATGGCGCTGTTGCTGCTGAGATTGTTGTTGATGGTGAAGCTGACGGTGATGATGATGATGATGGTGGTGATAATTGAGTGACGAGGACGGTGATGGGCATAGGCTACCGCCGCCACCTATTTCCTGTTGTTGTTGGTGTTGTTGGGCATCGTCGTGCGTCGGTGTCAAATCCAAGAAGAGGCCGGATGTCGCGGAATCGACGCAGCTGCACGTCTCGGTAGCTGTCGCGTTGCATCCCGGGCAGCAGTCGGTCTCCGTGGCCAAACTCATCGGTGTCTCCGGCGAATCCACGGGTCTCGTGCCAACGAACGAGCTCTCCATCCAACACAGCTTCACGCTCCCTTCGAGGATAAGTTTCATTTCATTAGATGCGTGATTGAAGAAGCCATCGACAGGGCACGCGGTGTGATAGTTACTAGTATACTAGTTCTATTGGGTGGCTTCTTTTTACGGAATCGATCCGCGATTCTCTCTCATGAGAAGCAAAACGTGGTAATTTACGTAAAAAAGACGCGCTAATTACGATCGATGTTCTTCAAAATTGTTATACAATTATACTCGATCGTTACCACGCTTTACATTATGTATATAAACCGATGCTAATTACGTACGAATTTTGTCTAGATGATCATTCTAATTAAAACCACATATCTCTGATTAGATCGTGTTAGTCAGAAGCTCTAACACGCAGATATTAATCACAGCGCAAACAAAGCTGATCGACACACATATATACGTTATTGACAACCAATACAATAGTTAGTATAATATCGTGACGAGGCATTTTCGACATTAATCGGGGATGTTGCACGGAGAATTCGACGAGCCCACTTCATGTTGTTTCTCGATGTTGCGTCACATGTATCGAATCGAATGCATCATGATTTTGCGCGACACAGCCAAGATATCGCGTGCATCATAGAAGCATATGACATTCCCGGTAGTAAGAGTTGGCCACGTGTGTGTTATCTTCGCTAACACGTTTCCGATGTTTGTTTTAATTTAGTCCTAAGGTCGGTTGGTGTGACGGATAAATTCACTCGTACCGACAAAACGAAGACAGAAGAGTGCGTGAAAACTTCAGGCTGATCTATTTCAGTGGTACGACGGCCATGTCGGTACAAGGCTATCGAAATAGTAACCGGCTGCCTGTATGTGTGTGTGTGTATGAGTGTAACTTTCGTCGAGACTCGTCGCGATTAAAGATGGCGACACACGTCTAGTGGTTTTCGGATGAAACGCGAGAAAAAGATGTCTCCCATTGTGACATCGCTTCTTTTCCACTTTTGTTACACGAAGTTCGACCTTGATTCACGAATTCCTAGGATGGAAATACGATTTAGTGTCAAGGCTGTTGGCGAATATATCACGGGAATTTTTGTGACCATGTTGCCGTTTCGTTGATTCGCTTCGATGTCGTGAAGATCATGCGGGAAATCTTTCGTTCGAGAATGATTCTTTACATCGTTTTCTACGTATATTTACGTATTTTCTGGTATCATTATGAATACCATGGAAGATAATTGCTACGTGATTTTCTCTCTCTCTCTTTTTTTTAAGGTTTCAGTCAACCATATGAAGATAGGAATGGTCGTTTGAAGGAACGTTTGGAGGAATGAGAGAGGAGGGAAGTGAGAGGACGATAAAGTTTCGAGGATAACGTGTCCAAGTTGCAAGAATGTTGACATGTATCCAGCGTGCGTGAAGATAATTACTTTAGTCACTATCATCGTGTTACTTGACCCCTGATTAAGCTAGCTGCAATGCTAGCGGAATGTGTGTTTACTTACGACACGGTTTACATCAAAAAGTCCTGATTTTAAAAATTTTGCATCGTCGTAAAGTCTCGGTCTGTGGTGGTCAACGATAACGTAAGTACTTACAATTTCAAAGAAAATTCTCTCGGTTTTTTATCCAATTTTTTCAAATAAAATAATTTCGAAACTTTATCATCATACTTCATATATTTCGTATCGAATTTTCTACAGCTCTGTTCTACAATTTTCACTCGACTGCTCGAAAAGTCTGCAGAATTGAGACCGAGTTTGGTCGAAGAGAGATCGACGTGTGTGCAACGTGATAAAAACATATCAATACAAACAGAGATCGTAGCAAAATGGAATGAAGGGTTCTCGTATATTAAGGAACATTGTTGACACCGATGAAAAGATATTGCACTCGCGCGTGAAACCGGTGCAACATTCGCAGAATGAATGAAACTGCACGCGTGTATATGCACGTGGGAGATACGCTACAGTTTTTTTAAACCGTGAAAGGTGATTTCGTTGAATGGACGCGCCGTTGAAAGCAATTTTCGTTAGTAAACACAGGACACGACGACAAGAGAGCGAGCAAAGAGAGGAGAGACAGCCAATAGAGTTGCTTTTTCACTAGCGTTTTTTTTTTTTCAGATGCACATGTCGAGTGTTATATATGTACATATTAAGTAACGACAACAACGAACGAGATAAATGGAAAATTGATTCAAACAACGAGACATTCCGACATCTGGGAAGTTAGATGAGTAAAATATAAATATAAAAGAAGAGAAACCCAGAGATAGACGAAAGACAGAGGCGTCTAAGGACACGATAAGATACAGATGCAGAGAGAAGAATTCACATGAACAGACATCAGGAAAACTCAAAATTACCTTTGTCGTAGAGAGTAAAAGTAGTGATGGTGTAGTGGTGGTGGTGGTGGTAGGATGGTTTTTTTTTTGGCAGGGGTTGTTTAGTGCTCACCTCTGGGGCTGGTCGACCTTGCTCCGCCCCTGTCGTCCCAGTCTTCAGGTCGAGGTCGAGGCGACAGCCTGCCACCTCCACCAACCTCCTGACCGCTTTGCACGTAGTGCACAATGGCCGAGGTTACCTCCTTTATCGAGTTCCTTACCTCTAGCTGCTGATTCGTTGTCTGCTGTTGCTGCTGTTGTTGTTGCTGCTGCGGAGAAAAATTTTGATCTGTACAGTTTTAAAAATCACGTAATATCGATGAAGCACTTTTTTGTCAATAACTTTCTAGGAAGGAATGAACGATGGTTAAAATAATCTTCTGATAGTTAATTACAAGGATGATACCTTTGTATCAAGATCAAGGTCAAGCTTGACTCTCTTAATTGAACGATTCTATAAAAAAATTGTATTATGTTAATCGAGGTATAAATGTGTTAAATAGATATAATAATTATTTAATAACAATTAAATGTACGAAGGATTTGATATCGATAAGTATATATAAAATCAGTTATAATTCAAATTATAGTAACAAATTAATTACTTTTCAAGCATATTGATTATTGATACGATGCTTGAAAAATAATGTCAAATGATCAATATTTCGTTCATAATCACCAATTATGAAATTCTTTTGACCGAGATCTCTGAATTAACGATTGTTACCAATATTTACTGCTCTGTTGTCCTCTTTCCGCTGCAAACTCAAAGTTAATGTAAAATTTAATTCAACTAATTCATTAATCGATTAAATAAA